CTGCTGAATAGTTTTTGACTTAAATCACTTCTTCTGCAGAGTTTTTGGTCTGGGGGCTATTTTTCAAGTACTTTCCTCCAGGCTCCTTTGGATCGTTGGGTAACGCGGCGCGCGACAGGCGGATAACAAAGCCGGCGCCCGGGCCCTGCGCCTCAAGGTCGGCTGAACTTTTGAACCAGGGAATCCTGGAATCCCTGCTCCCAAGGCAAGCAGCAAGGGCGCTCCTCGCATTTGTGGGGCCTGAATAATCCATGGGTACAAAGGACACCTTCCGTAGCATTCCCTCATCCATGGGCTATCGCTGGGAATAACGTGCCAAAGAGCATGGAGGTTTTAGCCCTTCCTCCGGATATTTGCTGCTTTACAGAATTACTCGACTCCAGTGATGGCGATGAAGAAGAAACACTCGTATGCGAAGAGGATTTAGAGGTTAATCCTTTTGACGGCCTGCCTTATTCTTCTCGGTACTATAAACTCACGAAGGAAAGGGAGGAGCTGCCAGTGTGGCAAGTGAAATACACGTTTATGGAGAGTTTGCTTCATAATCAAGTTGTGATTGTGGCAGGAGATGCTAAGACTGGCAAGAGCTCCCAGGTGAGTATCAGGGAAAACTTTTTAATTTAATAGAACATTTACTATCATATACTTTTCAGAATGTCTCCATTTCACTACTATCACAGACTTTTTAAAACAGAAAAATTGCATTTAAATTTACTGTTCACCACTGTCACCCTTTATTTATATTAGGAACATTAATATCCAAATAGTATCTAGTATCTGGTTCCAGTGAGTAGCAGCAGTTTTTATGCTGTACCGTACTGCACCATAATAATTTCCAGTTCTCAAGATTGAGCTACAGGGTATCACATCTGTTCACTGATGTTTAACAGTTCTCTGAGCAGGCACAGATGTGCAGCCACGTATTAAGGCCAGAGAAGGAGGGCAAAGTACAAAATGTGGCAGAATATTCAGTCAATCATAGATTTAATATATATACTTAATATATATATATATGCCTATGCATTTAAATTACTTCCCTCAAATACTTATAAGCAGTTGACCCATTTCACATGTGTTAATTACAAGCTGTTATTACTTAGGTAAATCCCTTCAGGCTTTTGGACGAGTTGAGAATGTCACATTTCAACCTGCAATTGTCTGATACAGGTTATCAACAAGCAACAAACACGAAGCAGTTTTGAGATTTTATGTACTAAACTCATAAATGTCAAGCTTCTCAGCTCTGACTGAAGAACATATTCATGAATAATTAGTATATTTTAAAATTCAGAACCAAATATACACATAACCTTAAAAAAGTATAAAATATTCTTGTACTTAGCCACGTGTGCTGTAAATTTTTGTTTTGTTTGTATGTCACAATATCATATCTCAACTGAAAAACTTTTCTGTCAACTAGATATTTTTCAAACTTACAGAACATATCAGCTATAATCCTCGCCTACCAAAGATCTGGGTGCACTTCCACTGACTTGAGAGAAACCAGGGCTTAATCTAAGCACATTATAAAGCATTATAAGTGACTTTACTACTTTATCAACATATCATCCCCTTTATATTTTTTTGGCAACTCTTTTGTTCAACTGCAGTTTTATTGGCTCTTCTACAGTCATAGCCAACCTTGTCATTACATCTTTGTGTCATACACATTGTTCTCACTCAGTTCATCCTTATTCTAAGCTGTAAGCACTCTTTTATTATTACTTTAATACCCCAAACAATAATGTTTTTCCATATAGGGGCCTACACATTTATTTGTGCTTTTTTGCTGTTTTACTTTGAATTTTAGCCTCACTCTAACCCTGCAACATATTAAGAAAAGAAGCAAGGAAACAAAGATGCACAAGAACTCTGATTCTTGCATCCTCTATCTTTAGGGTTCTCAGCAAAAATACACATTAAATGTTATATACTGAAAATGACGTGCACTGAATTGGTTGCTCTCTCTGGATTCCCTTTGATTACTGCCAATTTCCCATTTTTCCACACCACACTGCAGCCTTTTCCACTTTCATGACATAAATGCACCAGGCAGCACAGCAGAAAGTTACTGGAAATTAGTGGCTCTTACTCTCTACCGGGCTCTGTACACCCACCCCACAGATACAGTCCTGCAGGATAGCCCATCCCTGCCATATAGTTACATGGAGGCTTGAGGAATAAAGAAAAGAGACATTTTTGTTCCCCATGATCTTGCAGTGCTTCTTTTTCTAACCACTCATTCCTTCCTGCTATTTCCTTCAGCTTGTTTTGGTCCATATGCAACTCCCACAATTTTAGCTTTTTCTTGTGGTCTTAGTGAATGATCTCCAAGTCCCAGGTGCTCCTCACATTCTTACCTGACTCCTTGTCTGCTGTATCTCAGTATCTCCCACTTTGCATTTATCCACTTTTCCTTAATTTCCTCTTTACCTCAGTTCTTTCTTCCAGTATTTGATTAGACCTCTGGCCTAACTGCTTGTCTTCTAGCCACCATCTTCACTCTGCCAAACACAGCTCTCAGCTATCACAGTTTCATGGAATACAACATTTTTGGTACAGGAAGCAGAAGCCAGAACTACTACTTCCCATGTGTTCTTTCTTCACCAAATAATGCTGTCACTTGTGTTCTTGCTATTTGCTTTAATCAATCTTTGATCTTTTTCTGCAAAGCTACAGAACTTGAGCAGGAAGGTGGCCTACATTTAGTCTTGGAAATCTGGTATTCCTCTCTGAGGGAGAAGCGACTCCTTCAAGCAGAGGAGAAACAGTACAGATGTTCTACCTCCACTTGCATGCAAAGTTGAGAGTAACAGCTCTCCTCTTCCAAATGTATTTCAAAAATAATGTCTAAGACGACATTTTTATGGGAATTTGATCTTCAGAATATGCGTTAGGCATGGTCTTGGAAAAGCTACTTTTTGATCTGTAACAGACTTAGGTATGCGCTAGGCACTGCTATTCTCAATATTTTTGGCTGTGGAAAGTTCAAGGCATGAAGACACAATTTCTGATGCCAAACAAAGAGAAGCACATGCAATTTAGTTACAGCAAGACAAAACAGAGACAGTTTCAGGATTTCAACTGCAGATTTAGGCTTCGGCTTCTCCTACCACCCCCCCCCCCCTTCTTTTGAAAAAAAAAAAAACACCCACCTCTCTTTCTCAATCTTTCCCTGAATATTTTGTCCATCATCACACAGAAAGCCTAGTGGTGGAGCCAAGCAATGATTTCCACCTAGGCCTCCCCATCTCAAATTAATACTCTATTCTGCTAGAAAGAGTCTGACAGAAACAGACAGAACTTATATTTAAAGCCAATAACAGGCAATGTTTAGCGGCAATATAAAATGCAAGCAAACCATTAGGATAATAAGGAAATAAATGGTTACATTCTACAATGCCTATGTGGAACTCCAAGCATATTCTTGGGAAACTGCGGTCTGGTTCTGATTACTGCTGCATCAGGAAAGAAATACAGTGGATTTTCAAACCAGTGACAACATTAAGCAAAAAACCTCTAAGGAAATAAGGATGGTTGTTTCTTAGAGGAGAGCAATAGTTATTCTCTCATTTCAGCTAAGAACAAATGCCTCTTCTGCACAACACACAATTAATTTTTAGAACTCCTGTCAAAAGGATATCACTGAAGCCAAATCTCACTTTGACTCAAAACACAAAGACCCAATAGCACTGTCAAACTCTGCTGGTATAATACATACAACAACCAAAATCTATTACCTCAGTAAGCAGGGAAGAATTTTGACATATATCATTAGCTGAAATATAAGTGTTCATGACTGGGAATTAGGAGAAAACTTCCCTGTAGGTAAAGCTGGAGGACAACTTACAGTTGCAGAGGTCTTCTCATTATCTTTCCCAGTCTCTGATGCTGGCCACAGCTAGAGATCACATATTGAACACAAGGAATCATTCTTGTAATTGACAATTCCCGGGTTCCTACAAAAGAATTGTTATACACACGCTGGATACACACCGCCTAGGGCTGGGAATCTTTAAAGAGGCAGGTCCTTACTGCCTTACTCTTGCTGACTGTAACTTACACAAAGTAAATGTTGCCTGATAATAAACTACTGGCTAAGGACAGCCAGCTCTTTTAGTTGTTCTAAAATAAACAAGATTTAACACTTTGCTGGCTCCTTTTAAGACATTTTTAAAACATAAATAACAAGGAAATGTAAAAGTATTAGCTTACATATGATGATTAAAATAGGGTGATTGGAAACTTAATATTTTCACTAAAGTAACATTGACAATTGTATTTTACATTCTCATGTAAACACACTGATTTAATATTATCCAAAATTGATTTCCTACTGTAAACACAGGAATTACAGCCCTACTGCTTAACTTTTCACAGCAGCTCCTTTTCAGCTAGCTTTGCTTACAGACTTAATTAATCTGCAATTATACGTATTTATTCTGGTATTTACCAGTTTGGAATTGTCCTCTCCCTGGAACACGGTCCTTTTGTCAAGTACCTCACTATGATTTAGCAAGGACAGGTTTACTGCAGAGCCAGCTGAGAAGCCCTTGCCAGCAACCGCACTAACAGTGCTGGATGGAGCAGCAGATACTTAAGGATGACACTGCCAGCATTACCTGCTCCCCAGAGGCCAATTCTGTCCCTTCTGCAGTATATCCAAACTCATCCAAGATCAGCTGAGAAACTCCTAAATCAACCTTTTAGCTCTCCTGACTGTTTTTAAGGGACTCGGGGTCCTGACATTTATGCAGGCAGATAATGTGTGTCAGGTGCAGCTCCTCTGCCAGCAGATGGTAGGCACCAGGTGCTCGGCTTGATGGAGTTCCTCCCCGTAAATTCCAAACCGGCTACTTCTTTTGCACTGCAGTCTCTGCTCAATGTGTTAAATACTGAACGTATCTGTTTTCTCGCTTCCTCCAAGGTTCCTCAGTGGTGTGCTGAGTACTGCCTCTCGGCCCGGTACCGGCACGGCGTGGTGGTGTGCACCCAGGTGCACAAGCAGACAGCGGTGTGGCTGGCGTTACGTGTGGCCGATGAAATGGATGTCAATGTCGGCCACGAAGTCGGGTATTTTGTCCCCTTTGAAAGCTGCTGCACAGCAGAAACCATCCTGAGGTGTGTATTTGTTTTTTAATCCCTCTAGCTTAATAAGTATGTTACCACTTTTTACAAGCTGCAAAAGTCGATAGCTGACAGTGCTCGAGTCCTTAGCTCTTTATTACACGACTGCAATAAACTGAACAAGGTATGGAAGACATTATGTGCCCAATCACAGTAAAGACTTAAAAAGGATAATGTTACAGCCAGTGTAAGACTTGATTAGGCACCTTAGCATCTGCACTATTGCTCTGGTTTTTCTTTCTCCCTCTGGTACAGAGTGTTCATAACCATAAGAGAAAGTGAGAAAATCCATCACAGACAAAAGCTGGAATGTAAATGCAATCAAAGTATTGTCTGCTTGAGATGGGAAAAGTCATGGCTAGAAAACGGTATATTCAGTAACAAAAGAGAAATCATTTAGGAGGATTTTTAAGGGATTAAAAAAAAAGAAAAGCACGTGTAACACGTTGAATGTGGGCTGACAGCAAAAACACAGGGATTCTAACTTTGAGCCACTCCAACAGTTAGTGGAGTTCTATCAAATTACTTTCTTCGGCTCCTTAGCACGACAGAAACAAAAAAAATAAAAATTATATCACGAGCCTTGTTCCCAACCACATGCGCTCGCATTGATCTGCAGGGAAGCTGAGGGCATTCACCGCTTCTCAAAATCCAGTTCAATAGCTCTGCACTTCACTTGTCCCTTCTCTTTCATGGAGAACTGGGTAATACCCTTCCTGCAGCTGCACACGGTGTAGGAGGGAGACGAATCCTACCCTCTCTTGGATGTCAAAGCAGGCGTCAAGATGGTTCAAAGTCCTGTGAGCAACACGATAAAAAATAATACCCTTTTAAAAGAGTTTGTGTAATAAGAACGTTACAAATAACAGAGGAGAGGACATTACAATATGAATTAATCTCTCATGCTGGTTCCAGCACTCCTCAGTACGTGTGTACTCTTTGACCTACCTAGAAATACTAGCTCCTAGCTCAAGGATGAGTCATGCAACATGCATAGGTAGTTTAGAAGATGAAAAGCAATATAAGTCACTCTCTAAAAGTACAAGTATTTCTTCTTTTGGCTACAGCATCCTTTAAAGCATATTGCTACTTACTGTCATTGACTTTTGTTTTTAGCCATTTAAAAATAGCTTTAAAAGCATAGTTCTTTTGAGATTGTATTTGAAATAAAACTATAAAAGAGGCTGTGTTTTTCTTATCAAAACTTTATTGTTAGAACATAAGGAACAAAGTCTTTTCTGTCCTCAATACACTGAATTAATACTGTGGAATCAAATCTGAATATTCCACACATTTGACAGTTTTCTGCTTTTATATTGCAGATACTGTACAGACGATATGCTACAAAGGGAAATGATGTCTGTTCCTCTTCTGAACTACTATGGAGTCATCATCTTGGATGATGTGCATGAAAGAACTGTTCCAACCGATGCACTCCTTGCCCTTCTCAAAGTGGTCTTGCTATCACGACCAGAACTGAGGCTGGTGATACTCACTGCTCCTCATATGTCCAGCACACTGCAGAGTTATTATGGTAGTGTCCCCGTCATAAGAGTGGAAAGCAAACACCGCACAGAGGTTGTATACACCTGTGGCATTCAGAAAGACCATTTTCTGTCCGCGCTAAGACTGCTCTTTGAGATACACCATGCAAAAGAGAAGGGTGATATTGTGATCTTCCTGGCATGTGAACAAGTAAGTTTCTGATTCTAATAGTTCTGATTTTAATCAAGAAATAGCTTACCGACCATATGAAAATTCAAATGTAAATATCTTGTTGCTGATATCTAAGATGCTGGACATCATAATAACTTTTATCACTTCAGATTCTCCATATTACTCTTCACAGACTCTGTGAAGTGCATACTGCTTTACTACAGATGTGACATAGCCTAATGCAAGGAATTACCACATTTTCTGTAGGCTTAGAAAAAGGCCATCACTCTGATATGGAATATGAAAAGTAGCAAAGGTGGCATTCACGATGAGGGCCATTGATTCAGGGAGTTAAGACACTGCAAACTATTCTAGCATTGACTATATCACAATGTTATCCCTCTTCTGCAGTAACAGACACATGTCCAGTCTGCATAAAAGTCCCATTTTTTTAAGCTTAAACCTAAAGTTTTTAAAGCTAGTGTTTCGTTAACACAGCTTAAGGACATTTTCTTGACTTTTTTCATCTTCACAGAACTTGTTAACACAGTTCACAGCAGTTGCCAGTGCCAGGTGTGCACCGTGCATGCACAGAGCTAACTGCTGCCACCCAGGGCTCCCCTTGCTTCAGCTCCCCAAAAAGCATTTTGAGGGCACCACTGTGTGTCGTGCAGCACTCTCAGGTCTTCACACGACAGACATGCAGTAAAATAACTCCCCTTTAGCACTTATTCACTAATGTGAATCCTACATATGTAAAGTTTGATCCTTGCTGTTGCTGTACGCTCCTTATAGACATCTGTCTTCCCCAGAATTTGGCTTAGCCATGGTTAAAACTAGAGAAAAATGTTTAGAAAATGGCACAAAAGACAACATTTCAAAAAACAGTACAGCCATTCCTTGGTCTATATATACAGATATATAATAGAGTTGCTGGGTTCTTGCACATAAATCCATTCCATTTCATTTTTCCCTTTAATTTAGATGATTCATGTCGGATTTAGTTGTTGCTATGATTTGATACATAAAGTTCACTTTAGGATAAATAAATGGGTTTGAAATTACATATTGATATTTTTAATACTCATAAGAATTTTTCTCCCAATTACAGGAAGTTGAGAAAGCCTATCAAATTATCAAACGAGAAGAGACTAACTTAAATCCTGACCTTGGAGAACTCATCCCAATTCCTTTATACCCCACAAGAAAAGACTTCATTCCCAAACCAAAGCAAGACAAACAGAAATGCTGCAGAAAGTACAGAAGAAAAGTGCTACTAACTACAAGTTTTGGAGAATCTTTAGTTTGGATAAAAAATGTAACATTTGTCATTGATGTCGGAGTTGAAAGAAGGAAGGTTAGTAAAATAACCACAATCAATAAGCCAACAAAGAACTACGTGCGGATTATTTCAGGGCAGGGGACAGGGGCAGGTAATAAATTGCTGTGGATGGTTTCTAAGAGATCAAGTATTTTTCCATTCTTAAGTGAGATTCCACAGGATTTTTCCACATTCATATTACCAAAATATAACTATTTTGGAGACATTTTATGTGAAAACAAAGTAAGAAATCATAGAATCTCACTTCCACGTTTACTTGTAGCTCAAAATTTAGTGTTCACAGACCTCTGAATCAAAACATGAAGTGATGGAAATTAATTTGTTTCAATACAGTCCTGATGGCCTTCAGATTGCCTCTATCAATAACACAATTTGTACCCTTTAATTCAATTACTTTGTCATAGCCATTGAAAATTAGTTATATAATATTCATTCCTCAGTGATTCAAATTGACTTTCAGCCATATGGACTGAATGTCAATTCAGTGCAGAGGGAACAGATGAAATACATGCAGAAGGCAATCTCAGGTAAGTGCTGTAGCTGGGACATGTGCTGAATTTACACAGCGGGGAAGAGGTTTCATCTATCCCCTGCATTGCAGCACATTTTATCTCTTTGAGCAAAATTCTGCTTAAAGTAGAATTACAAGGCTGACTCAGATACAATGACTAAAAAGTTGCCTTATCTAGATTTTGTATGTCTCCCCACACTCCACAGAAGCTTATGGACATCCTCTGCTGGCCATAAAAATAACTCCAATGGCTTCTTAATTTAATCAAAATAAAGGCTGAATTAAGAAAAATTACAACGTGGTTCTGTATCCCTTTACCTCTTTGTTACAGTCCCTGTTTCTTAGGCTGGATTGACAGATTTTGGTATTAACAGAAAAAATCTGAAGATACTATGGAACAGAATGTTATCAGACAGTGTCAGGACTTTGTCACAGGAAGGAACAAATGATCTTTCCGGATGCATTTCTTGATATATGGATATATGTGCTATGTTTCAGCAAGGTGCATTTATTTAGAAAGAAACATTCATCTTGGAATACACTTAGCAGCTATTGAAAAACTTAAGTTTCTGACAATTTAGTGAAGTGCTGACTGCTCTCATTTCAGAGCCACCTAAATACGTTAGCAGAGAAAGAAATGGAACTGTTATTATACATTCTGTAGAATAACTTAGACAAAAATTCTGCATAGACCATTTATATTTGTGTTGTCTGATGCTTAATAACTCTCTCATTTAAAGGTATACAATCCTAGAATCAGAGCAGACTCTGTTATAATGCAGCCTATCAGCAAAAGTCGAGCAGAGATGCACAATCAAATTCTGGGAATGTCTTCATCAGGTAGAATTCAAATTCATTTGTTCAAAGTAATAACAAAAATCAACAAAACAATTTTAAAAATACTTTTTTTTTTTCCATAAAATGTCTTCCAGGAAAACTCTTCTGCTTGTACCCTGAAGAATTTACATACAAGGAAATGAAACCACATCTACCAGCCAAAATTCAAGAATCAAACTTAACTAGCATGGTTCTCTTCCTTAAGAGGATGGATATAGCAGGCTTAGGACACTGTGACTTCTTAAGTAGACCAGGTAATGATAATGCAGCTATTCTCCATGTGTTTTATGCTTTGCTGTTATTTAAAGATTAATTTTGCTGTTATTCACAGTGCTGATTTTAACAAATAGGACGTGCTCACACTATTACTGCTCCTGCTTTTACAACTTACCTGTTAGAACTGATGCTTCTGAGTGCAGTAGTAGCACTTGGAAAAATTGCAGTGTTGCTCTGAAAGCTGTTGCTCTGAAAAATCCTTCACAAGGTATCTGAATAGAATTGAATGAAGAAAAAAATAATATTTAGAGTATCTTCTCATCTAGTTTTCATATTATTTTCCTGGAGGCTACAAAGAACACTTGGGTCCCATTGTACAAGGCATTGTACAGATATGTAACAAAATACGCTCCTTTAATCAAAAGTGTACATTCCAAATAAACTGCTAGTGTTACCTAGGAGATTCATTTAGAGAAGCACAGCTTTGTTCTGAGCCCCCAGCATCTCATTTCTCAAATTTAAAATAAGCCATTGCCCAAGGATATGATTTGTAAAAATAAATGGAAGTAACTTTCAACGCTAGTCTGCGAATACTCTAACTTTGAGGTAGAGTGCAAAGAAAGTGATTGCTTTTTATTTTACTGACTTCAGATTTTGTTTTATTTCACTGAAAGAATATACATTTTTGTTCTAACCTACCACAAAATCCATGTAATGCTGCAAATTCTGCTGTGGATTTGAAGCCAGATAAAAATCAGAGAAACAATATCACTGCCTTCAGTGGTTTGGGAATCATGGGTTTGGGGATTTCTTGCTAGCTTTATTTGTGATAGTTTTCCAGTGCAAAGAGGATAAATTCTTAAATGTCCTTCCCTTTCCTCATGTGATGACTAGATCACTAGTCCTTATCATGTTGGGCATCATAATCAATCAGTAATGAAGAGCTTAGTTCCCACTGCTGGGTGCTGTGATAGATTCTAAGTGTAATTCTTAAGTGCAATTTGCCCCTGTGCAGGTGACCTGCGGAATCATGTCTAGCAGAAGTGTGAAAAAATCAATTTTTGAAAAAAAAATCAATATGACTGGTAACCAATGCAAGACAGATGACGATCAGGTGTTACTGCACTCCTGACTCCAGGAAACTTTCATGGAAACTGGTTATGGATTACAGTTGGCTTCCATTCAAATCTAGAAAGTGTTGCACTAAAATCTGTTTTTATATGTTTATGTATATAAGCATATATATACATATATATATATATAAACACCCATATATGCATAATATAATAATATTTTTAAGAAAAGTTATTCTTTTGCACTAGAATGAATTAGTAAATGTACTTTAGGAAAAACATTATTTGTGGATTTAAAGGCAATAGAGACACGGTATTCAGCATAAAAATTAGAAGCATTTGAGGATTGCACTGATGTAGGAAGTTTTGTCTGTATTTATGAGATAATGCAACTGAAGAAGGGATAGTGCTGATGTGTACAAAACAGTAAAGGCATCTGATGAATGCATCACTTTTACCTGGACTGGCATCAAATATGAAAAAGTTGCTGGTAACTAGAGAGCAAGTGCAAGTGAAAGGAATTGAAGAGTCTCAGGCTTTATTTAAGAGTGTGAGGAATGTTGGACAAATTATTGGAATAAAGAAAACAAGCACTATGGAGTTAACTGAGAGGAGGTGAAGAGGTCTGTAGAATTCCCTGCCCACCTTCCTGTCCTAAGGCCCTACATAATAAAAGTTTTTAGACATTGTTTTAACTTTCTATTACAGCTCTTTCCATCTTCAGGACAGATCACACAGCTTGGGCTTTCTTATTCTCAGTTCTGAGCGGGCAACCAACCACATTCCATCTAAACCTTTAAAAATACCCCTTCCGCAATTCTCCGGAGCCAATTATAACATTTGAACTATCTGACCATGGACAGCTTGAAATACCTGGTGCAAAATACTTCCGCTGACAGAGGCAGAACTACTGCAGTGAGCACATTTGCAAAGGGAGACAGATATTGTATCAGGCGAGCTGACAGAACTCCAAACACGTGCCAAGTGTTGGAGCAAACAGAATCATCTCCCTGCTGACAACGGGATCGATGATCTGGCCCTGGAAAGTCCATGTTTCCTCTCTCTGCACTGAGCCCTGACGCGCTGCACACTCAGCTCCACACAGCTCAGTCGTGGTCACCTGAAGCGACGTTCAAGTCACATCCCCCTTGCTGCCCAGCTCCAAATACTGCTGATACCCAGCTGAAAGGAAGCCCTGGCTAATTCATCACGAGCCCTAAGGCCAAAACCCTCCTGGATTAGCAGGAGGTTGCAAGGGAGGCAAAGAGCTCTCAGAAATGAGAGGCCGCAAGGCCTGGAACACTGAGGGACATTAGCTGCCCAAGGCGGCTGCGTCACCTTCGCTTTAGTTACATAACCCTTCTGCAACCTGAAGCGAGGAAGGAGCTTAAGGAAGAGGGAATATCCAAGATGATATATATAGGCCTAAGTGGAAAAGACAAGCAACAAGCTCCTGAAATGAGTAATGAGGCTAATGAGGCTTCTCTGACCCTAAGGAGACTTCTCTGGAGAAAAGGTCTTATTTACTACCAGTGTATGCAAGGCCAATCTGCCCATCCTCCGGCAGAAGCGCTATAAATTCAGCTGGACAGGCACACACACGTATTTCTACAGGCTCTATTCATTTTACTTGCCCCAAATAAGTTTCTGTTCAGAATGAACAGCTACTAAAACAACCAGCCTTGCAGCTATGTTTCTCCCCAGCATAGTTTGTCCTGCACTTGATTATTCCATGTCTCTTCTGCTCCTTGGACCTGATTTCCTTTTAACTAAAAGCAGCACAAACATTGCAGCATCTCCTATATGCCACTCACACCAAAGCAAAATGCTACAGGCTTTGCTATGAATCATTCTGCTCAGGTGCCATTGTGAAGTTGTCCTTGCAATCACCACAGATGGAAGTATGCTTTTAGTTTTTTTTTTTTTTTTTTTTTAATCAAAGGTGATTTT